ACTTTAATCTATTCATACTATGAATGGTAATATATGTATATTATTAGAAACTAAAAAGTTTAAAGAAAATATAAATTACCAAACATCAGATATCCCAAAGGTAACAAAAATCAACATTTTAGGTTATTTCCTACAAATTTTTACCTTTGTATCTGTCATTTATATTATTATAGTTGGGATTATGTGTATATATACACATAACTTATTTATATCTGTAAATGTGTGTGTGGTTTTATGTTGTCTTTTTTAACAATTCTATAAACTTAGATTTTTAATGGCTGCATCATTTTCTTATATAAACATACATATTATTATTTAGTAAACTACTCTTTATTTATATCACTGTGATGAATATATTTAAATATAAATTAAATGTTTATTTAATATTTGAATTTCCTCTGGATGGGACAGATTCCTCTAAGATTTTGAATATTGATATAATTACATTAATATTTACTATCTCATGAAGAGAAATTTTACCAAAATATCTGTTATACATGCATAAGTTAAGAAAGACTATTTTGGGCTGGCTGGTTAGCTCAACTGGTTATAGTGTGGTGCTAACACCAAGATCCAGAGTTCAATCCCTGTGTAGGCCAGATTCTAAAAAATAAAATAAAGTAAAATAAAATTTTAAAAACGCTGTATTAACACAAAGAAAGTGGCCGGCACAGAAAAACTTTTCAGGGAATAAAATTTATCACTCTGAACTTAAGGGAGAGAGAGGGACACTAGGTCAGGATCACATAAGAAATTAGTCATTAGATATTTTCTTGGTTGTGAGATAAAGATATTTAATTGGATTTCTTTTCGGGGGGTTGGTAAAATATTCTTCCAAAACAATACTATTCCTTTATTCTAATTCTATGCTCACCAAAAAAATTCATAATCAACAACTACATTTATCAATTGTATTTATACATGGAATGATTCAAAAAAGAGGAAATGCTCTCTAAAAACAGATATTCCCATTATAAATTAACAAATTGGCATCTGACTTCTAGTTTAGTCTCATTTGAATTTAATATCTGACTATCCATTAATAGGTGTCTAATAAATAAATTTTGGTTAAAATAAGAAATATTCAGAGTTTGGATCTGAGAAACAGATGGCAAGCCCTCACAAAAAATGACTATTTTAAGATCGTGTAGTTGACCATCAGGTAACAGTTTGAATGGGACAGTGATATCCACTGGGGTGTGACTGCTTAGAGGACATTACCTGTTCCATGTTCTGTGACAAGAGTATGCACTTCAAGGTAACTCCAGTATCCTTCTCGATTTAACTCAAAAGCATCGGTGTTGATAAACTGGGAGACACATCCATCTTTCCCTAACTGTGAAGTTAATAAACATAACAATAAAAGAAAAGTTGAATTTTAAAAAGACTATAAGATATGACAATGTTAGGGAAAATGTAACCTCTGGGAAGCAACTTTAAGAGTACTGTTTTACCCAAATTCTAATTATGTAGAACAAACCATTGTGTTTTTATAATTTAAATGTTCAGTGTATGTATTTCCCCTTGACTCCATTTGAATTTTTAACAAATATTAACTCTTAAAATACTGAATTAAAAAAAAAAATATTCATGGTGCCAGGTTTGTTAATCCACAAGATAATGACACATCTATCCCTAGTCACTCTTTTTCACACATGATATTTTCAATTCTGTTCATTTGAATCAATCTTCTTTTTCAGTTTTGAACCTGAATTTTATATTTTGTAGTTACCATGACTTGGATATTTATGGAACTAGAATTTACATGGCAGTTAAGGACACAGGCTTTAGAGTCAAATACCAGGATTTGAATCTTGGCTTTGCCACTTATTACTTTGTACAAAATACGATGCTAGTTAGGAGTTCATAGCGTTGTGAGTACAGTCATCCCTCAGTATCTTCAGCGCATTGGTCCCAGGACACCCCCTTCCCATGGATATCAAAATCCATGGATGCTCAAGTCCCCAATGTAAAATGTTGTATATAACCTTGCAAATCTTCCGGTATACTTTAAATCATCTCTAGATTACTTATAATACCGAATAGAATGTAAATGCTACCATGGATATCAAAATCCATGGATGCTCAAGTCCCCAATGTAAAATGTTGTATATAACCTTGCGAATCTTCCGGTATACTTTAAATCATCTCTAGATTACTTATAATACCGAATAGAATGTAAATGCTACGTAAATAGTTGTTACACTGAATTGGTTTTAAGCTTGTATTATTTTTATGGTTGCATTGTTATTTTACATTAATTTATTTATTTTCAAATATGTTTGATGTGGTGGTTGGTTAATTTTGCGGATGGAACTCATGGATATGGAGGGCTGACTGTATTACATAAGATATTGACTGGAAACAGTTTAGATAAGTGTTTGGTATTTAGTAAACATTTGGTAAATAGTAGATATTATTATTATTAGATCATTTTAAATTTCTTTCAATGTCTGTTTGGTCAAGTTAGAATGCCTCACTAAGTGAATTTTTTGAAATGTCGGAATTAGTAAACAAAATTAAACTGAAGAAATTGGCAAATATTTCCAAAGTATCTAGAATGGTGACGAAATGTGTTCATAGATTCGTAGGCCGTTATATTGGGGAAAAATTGAGTTATTGTTCACCTCCTTCATCTTGTAATGATATCAGGAAACTGAGACCTTGAGATGTCAGGTGGCATATCACAACCATATGCCGCTTCATGGGGTTCCTGAAACTATACAGAGGTCTCGCACCATTACTACAAGCTTAAAAGTCCAGAAAATGTTTAACCAGACTTAAAGATGATTAATTAGATAAATCATTTAGTCTATGTTTCTGCTTTACATATGTAAATGTGTATTTTAATTTTGCAGATCTCCTAAATATCCTGAAGGGCATCTATTTAATATAACCTTCTTTGATAACGCATTCTGGGGTCTACCTACCCTGTGTACTTGGCTAATAGTGGCTCATTCTTCTAGAGTGTGCATCTTTTTTTTAAACTTTTTAAAAAAATTTGTTGTGAATATTCATAAGACACAAAGCTGATTGTCACCCCTAGTGCCCATGATGTGGGGGCCAGATTCATACTGGCTGTTTACCCATTACCACAAATTGCAATTTGTACCCTGTGTCTCCCACCCAATTATCCCCAACCTCCCTCTCCCTCCCCCTTTCCCCCCAACTCCACATTGTAGCCCAAGGAATGTTCTCTCCCTCTGCAAGTGCAAGACCAATGCACTACTGTGGTCTTTCTTTTCTGCCTTCTTTCTCTCTTAACTCCCACATATGGCTGCGTACACGTGGTATTTATTCCTCTGTGCTTTGCTTATTTCACTCAACATTAAGTTTCTCCAGGCTCATACATGTTGTTGCAAATGGGAGAATTTCATTCTTTTTTATGGCAGAGTAGTATTCCATGGTATGTATATATATATATGTATATATATATATATATATATATATATACACCACAGTTTCCTTAGAGTGTGCATCTTTTAAAGGTAATGACTGTTTCATAAAATGTAACTCCCATGAGGATGGGGACCAGATCTGTCTTGATCAACACTACAGCTCCTAAACATATATACACCACAGTTTCCTTAGAGTGTGCATCTTTTAAAGGTAATGACTGTTTCATAAAACGTAACTCCCATGAGGATGGGGACCAGATCTGTCTTGATCAACACTACAGCTCCTAAAAATAATAATGTTTGCATATTAAAGGACTTCAATATTTATTTGTTGAATGAATCAATGCAGAAAATTTAGTATTCTTTGAAATGCCTAAAGATACAGACCAACTAGTTATTTAAATATATGATCTTGAACAATGTACTAACGTCTCCCTGCTTAATTCCAGCCATACATAAAGGGGTGATAATACTGGTGCCTACTTCCAGAGTTGTTTGGGGAATTAAATGCACATAAACTAATTAGCCCAGTGCTTGACGCATAGCAAGCATCCATTCAATGTTACCTATTATTATAATTATTATTACTGGTATTGTTTATTGCCCAAATAAAACTTTAAAATTCAAGAACCAAAAGGTTTGTAATGATTCCTAATCAAAAGTCTACTCTAGGGAGAACAGAAATATATGACTTTGTGTGTGTGTGTGCTGATATGTGGTATCACATTGCTTGTAATGCAGGAATGGCATCTGTATAATAGCCCGTCAGACTCTGGCAGGATTGTAGCTAAAGTCCTTGCTACATCCTAGACCAGCCCTTCTGTGTCAATTTTCTGATGCTGTTCCAAGTGAGTCCTTTCAGGAAATTTCTCCCACTGTAAGTTTGGATTTCCCTTATTAGTAGCTAAGAACTCTGACTGAAACATGTCCCATCTGGAACTCCTATGCACACTTATTTCCAATGAGAACAGATTGAGAGAAAAGTAATCACTCATTTAATAATCTTGAATGTGCACGATCATCTGCACCTCTCTCTGACTAAATTCACAAAGTACGAAGTGGAGAACATATCACGTTTCCAGTATATTGGTAGAGTGTAGGTTTGGATATAGAACCAAATCCATTTTTAATTAAGAATCAAATTTACTACTAAACTTTCCAATACTATAATTTGCTTTTATCAGTCAATAGAAAGTGAGAAATTAGCAAGGCCAAAGAAGAATAGGACATTTACAAGTGGGAATAGGAATATAAAATAAAAGCATTTTTAATTGTAAGGAGAGAAACAAGAAGAAAGAAAGGTAAACAGAAGGTGAGGATTAAAGGTTAATGCGAACTTATTTATGATTTTGCAGATATATCTCTTACCTGAGTGGTGAAATGTTTACAGACTGAATCGGGAAGATGCCCACAAGCACCATAAACGGTAGAATCCCTGCACATGCTAAGTTGAACCTTTCCCTCCACAGGTTTGCCATAGGTATATCTAATAGAAAAATACAGCAACGATAGAATTACAGAAGAGGTCAATGTCATTATTAATCTAAATAGCTATTTTGAAACCTTTCTTTAGAGGCTGAAACCACCACTGCAACTACATTTAAAAAGCTGATTATCTTAAACATTTATTTTTTGGAGGAAATCTAAAACAATGGCACTATATAAAATTGAGTTGAATTCTTTATGCAAAGATAGATTTTAATTAAAAAGGTTGAAATAGATGACATGTAGAAGTCATATAGCTAAGTCACTAAGACACAAAGGGAAGTGTTAGTAATAAAAAAAAAGAAATACATCAGTCATTGATTTTCAATTCTTAGGATAATATTTTGTTTCTCTTCGCTTTTCTGTGTTTTCAAAATATCCTATAATGAGTATACATTAATTTTTGAATAGTTTTTACTTTTCAAATGTAAATTATATTTATTTTTAATTACATAGATATACACAAATATACTTTCATTGTTAAAAATTGAAACAATAGGTAAAAAGGGCAAAGACTAATTGTTTGCATTGACTAACAGTAGATTCCTCTGGGCTACATTTTATGACAATTCCTCAATTTTATCTTCCAAATCATTAATTCTCTCTTCAGCATCATCCATTCTTCTAGTCAGCCCTTCTATATGTTTTTATTTTAGTAGTCAATATGCTGAATTCCAAGATCTTTGATCTTTTTAAAGATTCACTATTTATTTATGCCTGAGTCTATACATTTTATTATTTCTAAATTTTTGTTCTGGTTCATCTTGAACTGTTTTCTCAGGTATACATTTTTTTTTTTTTTTTAGCTTAATACCTTGGGTTTAAATTGTTGGAGTCTTCAACCATTTAGTGATTCATGTATATGTTTTGGGATTCCCAGCTGGCTTGTCCCAGAGTGCCGATCTCACTTACTGCAATACTTCTCCAGCAGCAATGACACAGGAACCAACGCACAGCTAAGAGTGGCAGGGTAGTACTAGACATCTGGGCTTTGGTGATTTTCATTCCTCAGGGGTGTTTCCAACTGTGCTGTCAATTCCCTGTCTCCACAACGCAATTACAATGAGACTTTCCTGTTCCTTTCCTTTCTGGTCTCCTCCCACTCCAACCCTGAAGGTCAAGCCCAAGACAGGGATATCAAAAAGGTCGGCATGTCTCTTTGCCATTACAGACTTCCAGCCTGGAGCAGACACAAGCTGCAGCACAGGCAAAGCTTTAACCTCGAAGTCCAGCATGGAATTTTAGATTTCTGTAATGAAACTCTCCTTACAACAGGAAATTATCAGAGCACTTCTTATTTTCAATAATCCAAAAGGAAAAGGAAAAGTAAAGCAATGTACATGAGATGTGATCTGCAGTCAGGGAAAGAATTAATCCTCACGTGGGTCTGAGGAGACAAAGCTTTACGTTTGCACTGTAACTGTCACTGCTAGTTACTCAAGCTCCACTAATGCTGCTTGACTCAGTGACAAGCAGCAGGGAAAACAGCTTGAACTGCAGGCTGCTACTCCTGCCATACACCAGTGGAGCCCCTCACTGTTTGCCCAAAGTCCCTGTTTGCCTTTAATATCCTCCACACAGTGCTCCAGAATTACCCTGGGGCCACTTTCAACTCTTACTGCAGTACTTTTCTCTATGATGTATTTTGAACTATGGTTTTCCTCTATAATCGTACAATATACAAATATTGAATCAGGAAGTCAGAGCAAGCACATGACACCGTCTGACAGAGCCTTCTGGGATGATGGAAATGTTCTGTTCTAGATCTGTGTCCTCCAACTCTGTAGCCACTAGTCACGTGTGGCTAGTGAGCCCTTGAAAGGTTGCTAGCACAGCTGAGGGACTGAATTTTTATTTTTTTTTTTAATTTTAATGAATTGAAATTTAAATAGCCACACGTACTGGGATGATGGAAATGTTCTGTTCTAGATCTGTGTCCTCCAACTCTGTAGCCACTAGTCACATGTGGCTAGTGAGCCCTTGAAAGGTTGCTAGCACAGCTGAGGGACTGAATTTTTATTTATTTTTTTAAATTTTAATGAATTGAAATTTAAATAGCCACACGTGATTTTAATGAATTCAAATTTAAATAGCCACACGTGGCCAGTAACTACTGTATTGGATGATGCAAAACAATGAGTTACCTTACAATGTAAATACGACAGTAGTCAGTCATCTTAAACTGCTACTTAAAACCATGTGTCATAACACACATTCAAATAATTACTGAGGTATGGNATATACACCACAGTTTCCTTAGAGTGTGCATCTTTTAAAGGTAATGACTGTTTCATAAAACGTAACTCCCATGAGGATGGGGACCAGATCTGTCTTGATCAACACTACAGCTCCTAAAAATAATAATGTTTGCATATTAAAGGACTTCAATATTTATTTGTTGAATGAATCAATGCAGAAAATTTAGTATTCTTTGAAATGCCTAAAGATACAGACCAACTAGTTATTTAAATATATGATCTTGAACAATGTACTAACGTCTCCCTGCTTAATTCCAGCCATACATAAAGGGGTGATAATACTGGTGCCTACTTCCAGAGTTGTTTGGGGAATTAAATGCACATAAACTAATTAGCCCAGTGCTTGACGCATAGCAAGCATCCATTCAATGTTACCTATTATTATAATTATTATTACTGGTATTGTTTATTGCCCAAATAAAACTTTAAAATTCAAGAACCAAAAGGTTTGTAATGATTCCTAATCAAAAGTCTACTCTAGGGAGAACAGAAATATATGACTTTGTGTGTGTGTGTGCTGATATGTGGTATCACATTGCTTGTAATGCAGGAATGGCATCTGTATAATAGCCCGTCAGACTCTGGCAGGATTGTAGCTAAAGTCCTTGCTACATCCTAGACCAGCCCTTCTGTGTCAATTTTCTGATGCTGTTCCAAGTGAGTCCTTTCAGGAAATTTCTCCCACTGTAAGTTTGGATTTCCCTTATTAGTAGCTAAGAACTCTGACTGAAACATGTCCCATCTGGAACTCCTATGCACACTTATTTCCAATGAGAACAGATTGAGAGAAAAGTAATCACTCATTTAATAATCTTGAATGTGCACGATCATCTGCACCTCTCTCTGACTAAATTCACAAAGTACGAAGTGGAGAACATATCACGTTTCCAGTATATTGGTAGAGTGTAGGTTTGGATATAGAACCAAATCCATTTTTAATTAAGAATCAAATTTACTACTAAACTTTCCAATACTATAATTTGCTTTTATCAGTCAATAGAAAGTGAGAAATTAGCAAGGCCAAAGAAGAATAGGACATTTACAAGTGGGAATAGGAATATAAAATAAAAGCATTTTTAATTGTAAGGAGAGAAACAAGAAGAAAGAAAGGTAAACAGAAGGTGAGGATTAAAGGTTAATGCGAACTTACTTATGATTTTGCAGATATATCTCTTACCTGAGTGGTGAAATGTTTACAGACTGAATCGGGAAGATGCCCACAAGCACCATAAACGGTAGAATCCCTGCACATGCTAAGTTGAACCTTTCCCTCCACAGGTTTGCCATAGGTATATCTAATAGAAAAATACAGCAACGATAGAATTACAGAAGAGGTCAATGTCATTATTAATCTAAATAGCTATTTTGAAACCTTTCTTTAGAGGCTGAAACCACCACTGCAACTACATTTAAAAAGCTGATTATCTTAAACATTTATTTTTTGGAGGAAATCTAAAACAATGGCACTATATAAAATTGAGTTGAATTCTTTATGCAAAGATAGATTTTAATTAAAAAGGTTGAAATAGATGACATGTAGAAGTCATATAGCTAAGTCACTAAGACACAAAGGGAAGTGTTAGTAATAAAAAAAAAGAAATACATCAGTCATTGATTTTCAATTCTTAGGATAATATTTTGTTTCTCTTCGCTTTTCTGTGTTTTCAAAATATCCTATAATGAGTATACATTAATTTTTGAATAGTTTTTACTTTTCAAATGTAAATTATATTTATTTTTAATTACATAGATATACACAAATATACTTTCATTGTTAAAAATTGAAACAATAGGTAAAAAGGGCAAAGACTAATTGTTTGCATTGACTAACAGTAGATTCCTCTGGGCTACATTTTATGACAATTCCTCAATTTTATCTTCCAAATCATTAATTCTCTCTTCAGCATCATCCATTCTTCTAGTCAGCCCTTCTATATGTTTTTATTTTAGTAGTCAATATGCTGAATTCCAAGATCTTTGATCTTTTTAAAGATTCACTATTTATTTATGCCTGAGTCTATACATTTTATTATTTCTAAATTTTTGTTCTGGTTCATCTTGAACTGTTTTCTCAGGTATACATTTTTTTTTTTTTTTTAGCTTAATACCTTGGGTTTAAATTGTTGGAGTCTTCAACCATTTAGTGATTCATGTATATGTTTTGGGATTCCCAGCTGGCTTGTCCCAGAGTGCCGATCTCACTTACTGCAATACTTCTCCAGCAGCAATGACACAGGAACCAACGCACAGCTAAGAGTGGCAGGGTAGTACTAGACATCTGGGCTTTGGTGATTTTCATTCCTCAGGGGTGTTTCCAACTGTGCTGTCAATTCCCTGTCTCCACAACGCAATTACAATGAGACTTTCCTGTTCCTTTCCTTTCTGGTCTCCTCCCACTCCAACCCTGAAGGTCAAGCCCAAGACAGGGATATCAAAAAGGTCGGCATGTCTCTTTGCCATTACAGACTTCCAGCCTGGAGCAGACACAAGCTGCAGCACAGGCAAAGCTTTAACCTCGAAGTCCAGCATGGAATTTTAGATTTCTGTAATGAAACTCTCCTTACAACAAGAAATTATCAGAGCACTTCTTATTTTCAATAATCCAAAAGGAAAAGGAAAAGTAAAGCAATGTACATGAGATGTGATCTGCAGTCAGGGAAAGAATTAATCCTCACGTGGGTCTGAGGAGACAAAGCTTTACGTTTGCACTGTAACTGTCACTGCTAGTTACTCAAGCTCCACTAATGCTGCTTGACTCAGTGACAAGCAGCAGGGAAAACAGCTTGAACTGCAGGCTGCTACTCCTGCCATACACCAGTGGAGCCCCTCACTGTTTGCCCAAAGTCCCTGTTTGCCTTTAATATCCTCCACACAGTGCTCCAGAATTACCCTGGGGCCACTTTCAACTCTTACTGCAGTACTTTTCTCTATGATGTATTTTGAACTATGGTTTTCCTCTATAATCGTACAATATACAAATATTGAATCAGGAAGTCAGAGCAAGCACATGACACCGTCTGACAGAGCCTTCTGGGATGATGGAAATGTTCTGTTCTAGATCTGTGTCCTCCAACTCTGTAGCCACTAGTCACGTGTGGCTAGTGAGCCCTTGAAAGGTTGCTAGCACAGCTGAGGGACTGAATTTTTATTTTTTTTTTTAATTTTAATGAATTGAAATTTAAATAGCCACACGTAGCCAGTAACTACTGTATTGGATGATGCAAAACAATGAGTTACCTTACAATGTAAATACGACAGTAGTCAGTCATCTTAAACTGCTACTTAAAACCATGTGTCATAACACACATTCAAATAATTACTGAGGTATGGCAAGAATTCATAAAATCAGCAATATAATTTCACACTTTCTTTTCCCCTTGCCCTCTGCACATTTCTATTTTACTTCGTTTAGCTAGCTTCATCCCATTCTAATATCTTTCCATGAATACATCATTTTATTGTGTACTATTTGAACTTACGAGGCACAGACATTAACTTTGAATTCAGAGTCCACAACTAAGATATTTTCTGGTGCATCCACAATCATTTGAAATTTGGGTAACACTGTCAGTAAAAAAAAAAAGGTTATAAAAGACGTTTATATAAAAATATCAATATATTTATATAAAGCAATTGTCTTCTCCTTTACAAACCATGGACCTTGCTTGTCTTCACTGTTAATAAACAGTGTTAGGTGGACACTGAAATACATAAGAGCTAGATTTTGGAATTAGATAGAAAAATGCAAATTTGGATTCCAAATACATAATCTCTCAGGTATTGAGCTTGGGAAAGTGTGTCTCCATATCTTCATTTGTAAAATGGAAATACTGGCACCACAACAGAACTTTATATTATGAGACAATATAAAGGAAGTCCTCCTTATATAACTAATGTTAATTCCATTCCTTTTATAAGTAGTGCTTTGAAGCATAAATGTGGTGTAAAAAGAGTTAACATCCCAGAAACCATCATATAAACTGAATTCCAGATACGAATACCACAAAACAAAGATAGAACAGATACCTAGGTTAACAGAATTGCATAATGATTATGGGGTGAACTAGGGGATTAAAATCACAGTAGGTGGAAGATCCTGAAATAGTAACAGAGGATAAGGAAAAAGGCAAGGAAGAGATACACACTTAACAATACATGATTTAATAGTCATGCTTTTGCAAAACTTGACAGATTTTGTTATTTTTCTTATTAATAGGTAATAACTTTATAGCTATTATTTACCGTATTCTTCCACAGAGAATAAGTGATGTGTTTCCTTTTCAGAGAGACTCTCCACAGTGATTTCATACCATCCAAGGATGGGCTCCGAGATTAACTGGAAGGAGAGTTGTACGATACCTCTCACAGACTGCTCATTCAGCCACTGTTGTATTCGATTATGTCGTGGATCCTGAAAATGAGGAAGGTGTATTTTGTTGCATGCTGGGTTTTTTCATTCATCATAAAATTTCAGCAAGGAGTTTCCCAGTTGATAGGATTCTAATCTACTGATTCAAAGTGTGTGTGTGTGTGTGTGTGTGTGTGTGTGTGTGTGTGTGTGTGTGTGTGTGTCCTCTGATTCCCTAGGGAATATTATTCTGCCATCTGGGTTTGCATGGGCTACATATTGTAGCACTCAGTATATTTTAGAGCTGGCCATTATTTTGTACATCAATGTTTAGTGTCAATCTCTGATTTCTTAAGGTTGAGCTATATTTTAGCCCCAATGCTTAAAGTAGTAAGTGAAAATTTACATACTTTCAATAAATAAGCATTAAAGTAAAGGAAATCCTACCTGTTTCTTGTCACTAGTAATGGGCGGATGTCAATATTAATTACTTTTGGGGGAGCTCTTTCTATACTTTTGAGGATGGCTACATGAAATAAATAATTCTGTGGCTATTTAAACAATTTTCCTCTGTAAACTGCTGTGGGGATAATTTAGTGAGGCCCCCTGGACTCAGGTCTGGTTGGGGGTGGTGCAGCACATTTCTTGTAAACAAGTTGTGTGTGGATGGAGTTAGTG